TTTTATAGTTATTTTTGTAGCATTGTATATAAACTAAATGAATTTAAAAAAAAGTTCCATATTCAATAATCATTTAACAGATTTTTCGATAAAATAATGTAGCATGAGCACTTTTGCACTTTATTTTGTCCGATAGTGTATATACTTTGTTGGGTCTTAGATGAATATTTCTTGGTGTTATACACGGAATGACAAACTTATATATACCCTCTATCACCAGTGATGGTGGTGAAGGGTATAATAATATGAAATAGAAGAATAAACAATTAAATTCAAGAGAATTTTTTAACAGAGGTTAGAGGAGTTACATATAAACAAATATATGGAGTGTCTGGTTGTATATATACAATCATACACTTTGTTATTTGTTTGTATGTCAGAGCAACCTCAATATCAGTGCTGTGGGAATGCTCTACATAAATATTCATATACATACACTCCCGCTCACTTAAATAGGTTCACTGTTTTGTTTACATTCAAATTTATTTTTTGCAAAAAATAATGGACTAATTAGTTATATTAAAATTTTAAATAATAACATGATGTCTTAGGTATCACTAGTGAGACAAAACTTAGTGCAATACGTAATAAAGGATTTTTAATAATTTTTTTTCTAAAATACTACGTTTTTGAACAATATTTGTTTGGCTCATTTGAATAGGTTCTTCATCTTTAATTGACAAAAACAACAACAAATTGCATTTTTCATGAAACTTTTTTATTTTTATAAACATTTTTACAAGGTTTTAGAAAAGATTTACTAAGGAACATATCCGCCGTTACTTGATATAACTCCGAAAATTCGAGGTGATAAAGAGTTATAAAGATTCTTAAGTAATGGTAAGGAAATTTCGGTCCAAGGCTTTTTAGGCTTCTTTTGTGTCATACTGTCTGCCCGACCTATACACATTACGAGAAAGAATTTCCGAAACCTTTTCAATAATAAATAGGTGAGAAGATTATGGAGGCCACTCCAAAAGTTTTATATTCTGGCTTCAAATCCACCCTTTTACAGCCCTGGCGGTATGGATGTTTCAAAGATATCCGAAAATGTAAAAAAAATCGGTTTCCAGTATGGCATTACAATTATTACAATTCTTACTAGATGAAAGAAATTTAAGCTCACATGTTTCATAATACGAAATTGCCCCCCCCCCCACTACATCCCATATCCTCAACAGCTATGCAAACGACTCAGGTAGAGCTCTTCCTTTCAAAAATCATAAAAATAATGATTATATCGATCTGGACCTTCTAAATTAAACATTTTTTCATCCGAAAAAACAAGATGTTGATATTGATTTTTATAACCATGTGGTCATGTGTAAAAAGAAGAGGATTTCTCTTTACGAGTGGCAATTGGAGTGGCTTTGATTAATTTTTTAATATTTCTAAAGCGTTGGCCCTTCTTACAATTAGTTTTACTGTAGCTAGGCTTGCTGTAACATCCACTTTTTCTCTAATTTTTGCTACAGAATCACTTGACTTGGAGGCAAATTTTATGAAATCTCTTCTGTCCGCTTTTGTTTTGACTCTGTATGTAGTTCCATTTATACTTTCTTAATATTCAAACTGTTTTCTTATAGAATTGCGAATAACGTTCTGAATTTGGCCAATTTTTTTTTTTTGCAAATTCCTGTGATTTTGGACAGCTTCCAAAAACGCTTGAATTTTGCCATTTTATTCTTTAGTTAATGGCTTACCGCAACCTATTTGTTAAAAAATATATTGCCTATATTCACAGACAATATAATATGAATGGATTTTACTCACTGCCTGCAGTAAACTGATTTTATTCTGATTGTGAACCTAATCAAGTGAACCAAAAAAATATGGCTAAAAAACGTAGTATGTTAGAAAAAAAAAATATTAAAAATCCGCTATTAGGTATTGCGCTAATTTTTGTCTCACTAGTGATACCTAAGACATCATGTTATTATTTAAAATTTTAATATTACTAATTAGTCCATTATTTTTTGCAAAAAACAAAACAGTGAACCTATTTAAGTGAACGGGAGTGTATAATAATGTAGACATAAGTTTATGCTGAATTGCAGATTAGCTGCAATTCTTAGCTTTCAGTTATTTTTAAGATTTAAAAATAAAGCTTTAGTTTTTAAACAACCAGAAACAACTGAAGTTGTTTTATTCTGTAATTTGCGCGATCACAAAATCGATAGACATATGTCATTACTCTTAGAGCTTTTGACAATTTCGAAAATCTTGATAATATATCTGATTTTTCAGTATTCGTATTAACCAAGGAAGGATGGGTATTAACGGTCGTAGTAAACGACTGACTAACTTTAGCTTCAACTTGAGCTATAAAGGGTTTATTGGTTGTTGGCCACTTCGACGCGACTTCTTTCAACCACGATGGTCCATTCCACTATAAAGTGTCATCCTTCAACTCATCAGCATTAGATCCTCGGCTAGCAACATCGGCAGGGTTATCGTGTGAAGCCACATGGTTCCAGTTGTCAACAGCGACTGTTTGGATAATTGTAGAAACTCTGTTTGCCACAAATGTGTTCCACGAGTAAGGGTGTTTACTAAGCCAGGCCAAAACTATAGATGAGTCGGTCCAGAAATACGTCTAATGTAGGGGTAGGTTGAGTTGGGTAAGTAAATTATGTGTCATATTAGCCAACAACACTGCACCACAAGGTTCAAGTTTTGGTATCGAGATTACTTTGATTGGCGCAACTCTCGTCTTAGTTACGGAATTAGGTCCGTCTATTGGTGTTACTCGTACATATAGACATGCAGAGTATTCCTTTTCAGAAGCATCTGAAAAGCCATGAAACTGAATTTTTGCTGAAGGTGAAAAGTTAATCCATCTTGGAATACGAATTCGATTAATATTATCGTAGAACTGCAAAAACTTTTGCCATTTTATAAGGGTGAGTGGGTTAAGACATTCATCCCAAGCTGTATTATCTTGCCAAATTTGCTGCAGTTATAACAATTGGCGCTAACCAACCAGCTGGGTCAAAAAGACGATCAATGTCTGATAACACAGTTTGTTTTGTGTATGCTGATTTTCTCTCAATTAAGGGTACATTAAAGAAAAACGTATCTTCTTTAGCATTCCAACGAATGCCTAAAGTTTTAGCATTATTTGATTCGGGTAAGGTAAGTAAATCAACATCGAATAGATGTTCTTCGGGTAAATTTTGTAATAATTCCTTTGTATTGGAAATCCACTTTTTCAAAGGAAAACCAGCAGAGTCAAGAGCCGCGATCAATTGGGATTGAGATTTTTTAGCTTCCTCAATTGTGTGACCTCCGGCTAAGACATCGTCAACATACATGTTGTTTCGCAATATTTGCGAAGCAATAGGGTGGGTATTTTGAATGTCATCGGCTAATTTGTGTAGAGTTCTAATAGCCAAATATGGCGCACAGTTAACACCAAATGTAACTGTTTGCAGTTCATAATCTTGAATGGGTTCGTTGACGCTTTTACGGAATAATATTCGTTGGAAGGGTGTGGGTAGGGTTTAGCGTAATTTGCCGCCACATTTTTGTAATGTCGGCATTATAAACTGTCTTGTAAAAGCGCCATTTCTAGATAAGTACAACTAAATCTTGTTGTAGGCTAGGACCAGTGTATAGGGTATCATTAAGACTGTTGCTGTTCGAGGTTTTGCTAGATGCATTAAATACAACTCAAACTTTTGTCGTAACACGATCACGCTGTTGATGGGGTAAATAATAATGGGAATTTGAGGGAGTGTTTGGGTTATATTTAATGGGTTTCATATGACCTAAGTCGATATACTCATGTAGCACGTTATTATATTCCATTTTATGCTCTGGCTTTTTCTTCAAACTTTTCTCGTTACGTAGAAGTTGAGCCATAGCAACGTGTCGAGGGTTTCCTAACTCAACAGGAGGGTATATAAATGGTAAATTTACCTGATAACGGTCATTTGGTAATCGAAGGGTAGTGGTCATAAAAGTTTCTTCACATAAAGAACTTTCTTCTGAAACTTTTTGGGTGGGTACATCTTCAATTTCCAGAACTTGGTAAAAACTTTAACAAGCGTGACTGTCCGTTTTGACTCCAGATTTTAAAATCTGTGGGTAAAAATCGCTGCCAATAATAAAGTCTATAGGTCGACTTTCGTAGAATTTTTGGTCAGCCAATTGAATATTTTACATGTCTTGTATTAGGGTGGGGTTTAAATTTTTGGGTGGGTAAGTTTTTGGTTAATGTTTTAACAACAATTGCTTGGATATTCAATCTAAAATCGTTTTGGATGTTTGAGCGCAATAATACTTGACATAGTTTATTAGAACGAGCAGAAACTATCTCGTTTAATCCTGATATTTCAGCAACTATGGGCGTAGTGGGTAATTTTAGCTTCCTTCTTAGTTTATCTGTAATAAACGAGAAGCTGTATCAATAAGCGTGTTGCCGCCACTGTCGTTCGATTAGTTATCGGTTACTTAGTAATCGCAACTATCAATATTTTGTAATCCCTAACTGTCAAAAATGAACAAAATTCCTAAGATAAAAAGGCGCACATGAAATGGCAAAAACGAAGATGACTCCCACTCGTGAAATTGAATTGAAATCCCGCTAATTAATTTTCTAACAAAAAGTCACTTTGTAAAAAATAACTTATTTCATTTTGTCGCGCTTTGTTTTTATACTAAAAAAGTATGTATATTAAGTAATTTGTATTTAACGAAAATCTGATATATTTACTTATCTATTATATGTACTTAGGAATTTCAACATACAGATGTAAAATTATAAATAAAATTGAATTATTGAATTTTATATTTGTTGTTCACAATCTTATAAAAACTGGGCGCTCGGGCAAATTCCCGTAACAAAATTGAAATTCTTTTTTAAAATTCAATAAAGAAATTTCTGGTTCACGTATTGCCAAACATAACCTCAATTGCAGTAGGACGTTATCAGTAGCTGTTCACTACACCCAAAGGGAACTCATATCCAACTGGCAGAAACCGTAAGTCCCACAAAAATGGATAAATCTTCTTTTCAGGGTCAACCACCACAACCTCACCAAGAACCTGCTACCACATCACCACCTACAGCAAATTGTCTAGTTTGTAACGAACCACCTACGACCCAATGTATATCATGTAATAAGTGTCAAAAAAAGTACCACTTAAAATGTATTAATTTGGAGAATAACCAACAACCATTTACCTGCGATAATTGCACCAGTAAAACGCTAACTCCAGGCTCACCAAAATCTATACGTAGTCAACGGAGCAGAATCTCCAACACTTCAACAATCTCAACCATTCGAAGTAAAAACTTAGAACTTCAGCGTATTGAAGAAGAAAGGCAGCTTGCTAAAGAACGAGACACCGAATTCTTAAAGCAAAAATATAAATTGCTACAACAAACCAAAGAAGAGGATGTTGACACAAGCTCACAAGATCTCAACTCCGTACATGAGTGGCTAAACACTCAGCCAAATCCGCCAAACTCATCGGAAACAAACCCACATTTTTCTCCACAAAACTGCCCAACAGAGAATCAACATGTAACTTTTACAACCTCAATGTTAAATCAGTGTCAAGTAGCAACTCAAACTTCACAAAATAATATGCCAATTAGTTATACAAATTTAAATTTTCACAATAAAACACAAAATGATCTGTTAACATCAACTTCATACAACAATACAGGCACATTTATTAATACAGAGACTACACAGCCACAAACAACAACAGCAGCACAGCACAACATGTCTCTACCAGCAACAAATAATTACACCTTTCGCCCGTCATTCTCGTCTGTTCCGCATAATAATATAACTTCAAATCTTACACATCAACAAATAAATTCGAGGCAAACGGTCCCAAAGGATTTGCCAATATTTACCGGCAATCCAGAAGAGTGGCCGCTTTTTAGCTCCACCTACGACTGGTCCACGGCAGTATGTGGCCTGACAGACGCTGAAAATTTAATTCGCTTGCAAAGGGCTCTAAGAGGAGACGCTCTAAAGTCTGTTCAGCACATTCTAATTCACCCATCTTGCGTTCCAGCTGCAATCTCGACACTTAAACTGTTGTATGGACAACCAGAAAAAATTCTGCATGCACTAAAATTGAAAATACGAACATTACCAACTGTTAATGTCAACAAGCTGGATACAATTACCTCGTTTGCTGTCCAAGTAAAAGGTCTTCAAGCTACAATAGAGGCCTGTGGTCTTCTTGAGGAACTCAATAATCCTTCATTGTTACAAGAATTGATTTCCAAATTGCCTTCATATTTTCAGATAAATTGGGGAACGTATAAATTAAAATTAACAAAAGAAAACAAAAATGTAAATCTGTCAGAATTTTCTGATTGGATTTTTGACATTGGTGTTTCTGCAAGCAGCGTCAACATAGAGAGTAGTACAAGCTCTGCCGCAGAGGCTCTCTCACGTAGTAAATCAAAAAATGTTTATATACACACTCATACTGAACAAAGCAGAAAAACTTGCATGGTATGTAGTGGCGACTGCAACAATGTTGCTAATTGTGAGAAATTTAAGAGTGCAGATAGAGGAAGTAAATGGAATATTGTAAGAGAATTAAATCTTTGTAAACAATGTTTACGTAAACATTTTGGAAAATGCAACAACAAAAACGTCTGTGGTGTGGATAATTGCCAATTTAAGCATCATTATCTCTTACATAAAAAATGTGAACAAGTTGATAAAAAAGAGATGACAAATGCTGCTGAAACAAATAAAAACGAGGAATCAAAACAAAACAATAAAACTCATAGTTGTAATACGCACAGTGCAGCTGGATGCAGCAATTTGTTTAAAATTATTCCCATAACAATTTATGGTAATGATAATAAATTTATAGAAACATTCGCTTTTATTGACGACGGTTCTTCAACGAGTTTAATAGATGAGCAAATTATTAACGATTTAAATCTTGCTGGCACTCCTGAACCGTTATGCCTTAAATGGACTGGAAGCGTTGAACGTAATGAAAATAAATCTTGCCGACTTTGTATAAATGTATCTGGCCCTAATAAAAAAGTGCATACAATAGATGTGCGTACTGTAAAGCAGCTTTCATTACCAAAACAAACTATAGATGTTGAAGAGATGGTTAAAAATGCACCATATTTAGCAGGATTGCCTGTGAAAAGTTATGTTGATGCGACTCCTCGGCTATTAATTGGTCTCAATAATTCACGACTATGTGTTTATAATAATATTAAAGAAGGTAAGATTAACGAACCTGTAGCCATACGTACTCGTCTTGGATGGTTAGTATACGGTACAATGAGGAGAAATTCGTTAATAGAACATCATCATTGTCATGTAGATGAATGTAGTAACAAAATACTTGCCGATTTAATGAAAAAATTCTACAGTTTAGAAACCGCTTGTATAGATAACTCAACTACCATTCTAAGTAAAGACGATGAAAAAGCTATGTCTATTTTAAAACAGTGTACTAGACAACGACCTGATGGGCATTACGAAACTTCGTTATTGTGGCGTAGTGAGAACATAGTGATGCCGAATAGCTATGATATGGCACTAAAGAGATTTAGGTGCTTGGAGAAAAAATTAAAAAATGATAGTAATTTAAACGACGTATTTAACAAAACTATTGCTGAATATATTCTAAAGGGATATATAACTAAGATTGAAAGGAATGCTCCAAAGCCAACAAAGGATGAAAGGGTTTGGTATTTACCTATATTCCCAGTATTTAATAAAAACAAACCTGGAAAACCCAGAATTGTATGGGATGCGGCCGCCAGAGCTAATAGACTGTCTCTAAATGATATGCTATTGAAAGGTCCGGATATGCTGTGTTCGTTGCCTTCTATTCTTATTCGATTTCGTCAAAAAACTGTAGCCATTTGTGGCGATATAGAGCAAATGTTCCACCAAGTTTTTATCAGAAAAGAGGATCGTAATGCTCAGAGGTTTCTATGGGGTAGTAGCATCGACAATGAGCCAGATGTATACGTTATGAATGTGATGATTTTTGGAGCTTCTTGCTCCCCGTGCATTTCACAGTTCGTCAAAAATATCAATGCAGATAAATTTAGTGAAAAGTATCCTACTGCTGCAGCAGCCATAAAACATAATCATTATGTCGACGATTATTTAGACTCAGTAGACACTATCGAGGAGGCAATTACTTTAGCTTTAGAAGTTAAATATATCCACAGAGAAGCTGGATTTAATATCAGAAACTGGATATGTAATAACAAAAATGTTTTAGTCGCAATAAATGGCAATGATAATCTAAAAAATAAGAGTCTGAATCTAGGAAATGAAATAGAAGTAGATAAAGTTCTTGGCGTTTTCTGGAGATCATCTGACGACACATTTACTTTTAAAATTACCCCAAATATGGCGAATAATATATTGGTGGACAATAAGATTCCGACAAAACGCGAACTATTACGAATTTTAATGTCGATATACGATCCTTTAGGACTTATTGGTCATTACCTGATGTACCTAAAAATAATATTGCAAGATGTATGGAGAAGTAATGTTACTTGGGATGAAGAAATCCAACCTTGCCACATGGTCAAGTGGACGAAATGGTTGTCATTCTTGCCGAAAATAGAAAATATTGCCATACCACGATGTTATCTTCAAACTTTTAGTAGTTATGACAACGTTGATGTAGAGCTGCACACATTTGCCGACGCTAGCGAGAATGGGTATGCAGCAGTATCCTATTTAAGGATTTCGAACGGCATTAATGTGGTTGTGTCCCTAGTCGGGTCGAAAACTAGAGTGGCTCCTCTAAAGGTAACTTCTATTCCCCGTTTAGAATTAATGGCCGCAGTTATTGCGTCGCGATTTGCTAATAGTATCGTAAAAAGTATGACAATAAACATCAGTCGAATGGTATTTTGGTCGGACTCAAAAACCGTCCTTAGCTGGCTAAGGTCAGATCAAAGAAAATATCACCAGTTCGTGGCCTTTCGTGTAAGTGAAATTATCGACACAACTGAGTTGGATGAATGGCGATGGATTTCAGGTAAATTAAATGTAGCAGACGAAGCAACAAAGTGGTCCAAAAGCGGACCTGATTTGTCAAAAGGCAGTCGTTGGCAAAATGGCCCTGATTTTTTGAAACAAAATCAAAACTCGTGGCCTCTAAACGATAGTATAAACGCTGACATCGATTGTGAACTTAAACAACACATACATTTTGTAAGAGAATTTAATTATCTAATTGAAATTAAACGGTTTTCACAATGGAATAGAGCCCTTAGGGCCGTAGCCTATGTAATTCATTATGTGAATAAACTTAAAAACAAGAAAAATCCAAATACACTGTCACAAGAGGAAATTAAAAAGGCAGAAGTGGTTCTTCTAAAGCAAGCTCAAATGGAGGTGTATATGGACGAAATAAAGGCATTTAAATGTAACAGCAAAATTAGCAAAAGTAGCCCCCTCTATAAGTTATCTGCTTATTTGGATGGCGATGAAGTTTTACGTATTAACAGTCGTATAGATTACGCCAACGTTCCATGTGGACTTAATAATCCGGCTATTATACCAAAACAGAGTTATATCACTGAGCTGATAATTTTGCACTTTCACGCACATTATCATCACGGAAACCACGAAACAGCTATAAACGAGATTCGGCAGGTATATTATGTGCCTCGCCTAAGAACAACTTTTAAGAAAGTAATACGAAAGTGTCAAATGTGTAAAATATCTAAAGCTGAACCAACGTATCCTCAAATGGCAAAACTTCCAAGAGCAAGGTTGTCAGCTCACGTCGCACCTTTTACGTTTACTGGTCTCGATTTTTTTGGTCCGCTTATGGTGACCGTAAATAGGCACAAGGAGAAGAGGTACGGAGCCCTATTCACCTGTTTAACTATTCGAGCCGTACATATCGAGATAGTACACTCTTTAACCACCAGCTCATGCATCTTAGCAATACGGAATTTTATGGCCAGGCGTGGTACTCCACGGGAGTTTTTTAGTGATAATGCCACCAACTTTGTTGGGGCAGAAAGGGAGTTACGGGAATCTATAAATGAAATTGATTCCAACGAATTTGTTCGCAATTTCACATCAGCTACGACTAGTTGGAATTTTAACCCGCCTGCTGCCCCCCATATGGGGGGAGTTTGGGAACGTATGGTACGTTCTATCAAAACAGTGCTGTACAAAATACCAACCTCGAGATCTCCAAATGACGAAACAATTCGTAGTATGATGGCTGAAATAGAAAATATTATAAACTCACGCCCACTAACCTACGTCCCAATAGACAACGAGAATCAAGAAGCTCTAACTCCTAATCATTTGCTGTTAGGCAGTTCTAATGGGATGAAACCCTTAGCTGATTATGATGACGGTGCAATGGTTGTTAAGAGTAGTTGGTTGCAGTCGCAAATATATGCTCAACAATTTTGGAGACGATGGCTAGCTGAATATTTACCGTCGCTTACATGCAGAACAAAGTGGTTCGAAAAATCCAAACCTTTAACTGTAGGCGATTTAGTTGTTGTGGTTGACCCTTCCAGTCCGCGTAATGTTTGGCCCAGAGGAAAAGTATTGGAGACAACAGTTGCAAAAGACGGGCAAGTGCGCAGAGCAAAGATTAAGACAACCTGCGGAGTGCTGGAAAGGCCAGTAGCGAAGTTGGCCTTACTCGACGTGGAGCAAAATAGAGAGTAGGACTGCGAATGACATTCTTGTCATACTGCGGTGGGGTGTTGCCGCCACTGTCGTTCGATTAGTTATCGGTTACTTAGTAATCGCAACTATCAATATTTTGTAATCCCTAACTGTCAAAAATGAACAAAATTCCTAAGATAAAAAGGCGCACATGAAATGGCAAAAACGAAGATGACTCCCACTCGTGAAATTGAATTGAAATCCCGCTAATTAATTTTCTAACAAAAAGTCACTTTGTAAAAAATAACTTATTTCATTTTGTCGCGCTTTGTTTTTATACTAAAAAAGTATGTATATTAAGTAATTTGTATTTAACGAAAATCTAATATATTTACTTATCTATTATATGTACTTAGGAATTTCAACATACAGATGTAAAATTATAAATAAAATTGAATTATTGAATTTTATATTTGTTGTTCACAATCTTATAAAAACTGGGCGCTCGGGCAAATTCCCGTAACAAAGCGCTCTAGCTGGAAATAATTCACCTTGAACTTCAACATTCAGAACTGCAGTTCCTAATAACTTTGTTCTGTCATCTATGGGTATGGGTTTGCTTGATTGGGTGTGGGTCGAGAAAGACTGTACTGTGTTTTGTGATGTTGACGCCTGAGTATTCTCTTCTGAGAATTCGGCTTGTGTAAAAGCGAATTATGTTTACCGCCGCAATATCTGCACTTAAATGTGCTATAACAATCTTTTATGATATGTCCAGCAGCTAAACAATTGTAACATATTCCATTCTCATTTACAAATTCAATTCTTTGGTTTAATCCTAAAGAATTAAATGAAGAACATTCTCTTAGGGTGTGATTCTTTTCACAAAGTTTGCAAATAGACCCATAGAGTTTAGTTTGAGTGTTTTGTGTATTGGGTTTCTTTTGGCCATTTGCATTCTTTTGGGTATTTGGGTTGAGTTAGAGAATTTTTGTTCATTTTGAGGTTTGGGGTTTGGGTGGAGTTTCTTTGAAGAATGGGTTACATTGTGAAACGCTTTGGCTCTTCTGTCAGGGTTATATTTAGTTTCAGTAAATTGTTTGGGTTTAGGGTGGAAATTAGGATTCGAATCTGGAACATCGCTTACTGGTGAAAGTTCCTTAAAAGTGTTCGTTAAGAACACATCAAGATTCGTCCATCGCGGCATTTCAGCGCTATCATTGAGAGTTTTTTCAAAATCTCTTCGGGTTTCTTTGGGTAGTTTTGATAAGCAAAGATATACGAAGATAGGATCCCAATTATCCGTATCAATTTCTAATGAATTTAAATTAGCAATACAACAAATTATCTTTCTCTGAAGCTTTCTTATAGAAGCACTACACATGGTTCTTGCTGTGGGTAAATTAAAAAGGGTTTTTAATTGAGCATTGATTTGCATTCGTCTATTTTCAAATTAAGAGACGAGTTGGGTCCACGCAATGAAAAAGCCATCATTAGTTAGGGTTGCGTTGTCATCGATTTATTTGGCTTCGCCGCTTGTCTTTTGCTTAAGATAGAAGAGTTTTTCCACTTAAAGCGTGTATTGTTACCATAAATGGCCTTAAAAAGATCCCGGAAAGAAGCCCAAGATTTAAAATCTACATTAAATGTAGGCATATCGCATGGGGGTACATTGAAGGCTACAGAACTGCTGGGTTGTGGGGGTTCGGGTAATGATGGTCGGGTTTCGTTTTCTTTTGTGATCTCCTCAATCGATTCGTCGATCGAGATCATGCTTGACCTATAAAAACCTTTAGCAGATCTAACTTGTTCTTTATACCCTCCACCACCATCAGTGGTGATAGAGGGTATATATAAGTTTGTCGTTCCGCGTGTAACACCAAGAAATATTCATCTAAGACCCAACAAAGTATATATATTCTAGGTCCTTATGAAATTCTGAGTCGATTTAGCTGTGTCCGTCTGTCTGTGTGTCTGTCTGTGTAAAACACGCTCACGTTAGAACTAAGCAAAGGAAATCAACAAAATTCACCAAAAATATATATTATTATCCTAAGCAGTTTGGTATTGAAAATCAGCAAAATCGGTTCACAACGTAAAAAGTTATGAGTAAAAATTTCAGACTACCTCGAAATAAATTAAGTTTTTTTCATAATTCTTTTGAAGTTTTCTCAGAAACTACCACAGATATTGCGATGAATTTTGTCACACTTTATTTTTTTAGGGCAGTGATCAATTATGTTCAAGATCTTTACAATCGATCAAATATTTCCCATAGCCCCATACAAAAGTATATATTCAGGGAAATTAGTTTATCGTTAATAACTCCCTCAAATATATCGGTATCAACACAAAATTATGTACATGCAAATATAATATGAACAGAAATCATACTGTCAACGTAGATCTCAGTCGGTCCACAATTGGCCATAGCTCCCATACAAGGGCCACTTCCGAAAATCACCTAAACGCACATATTTCACTGATGAATAAAGCTGTTGTGATAAAATTCGAGTTAAATATGTTTTGTGTACATAAAAATCATTCTACCAAATTTTTTACTGATCGGTCCATTATTGGTCATAGCTCCCATATAAGGCCCACTTCCGAAAATCATTTAAAAGCTCATATTTCATTGTCATATAAAGCTATCTTGATGAAATTCGACACAAATATGTTTAGTCTAAATATAAATCACTCCACGAAATTTTTTCCGGATAGGTCCATAATTGGTCGTAGCTCCCATATAAAGTCCCCTTCCGAAAATCACTTAAACGCATATATTTCATTGAATTATAAAGCTATCGGGATAAAATTCGACACAAATATATTTTGTATACATGCAAATCATTTTACAAATTTTTTTACGGATCGGTCCATTATTGGTCATAGCTCCCATATAACCTCACTTCCGAAAATCACTTAAAAATACATATTTCATTGTCAAATAAAGCTATCGTGATAAAATTCGACATAAATATGTTTTGTCTTTATATGAGTCACTCTATGAAATTTTTTCCGGATAGGCTCATAATTTGTCATAGCTCCCATATAAGGTCCACTTCCGAAAATCACTTAAACGAATATATTTCATTACATTCTAAAGCTATAAGGATAAAATTGGACTTGAATATGTTTTGTGTACATATAAATCATTCTACCACTTTTTCCCCGGATCGGTTCATTATTGGTCATAGCTCCTATATAAGTCCCACTTCCGAAAATTACTTAAACGCACATATTTCATTGTCAAATGAAGTTATCTTGATAAAATTCGACACAAATATGTTTTGTCTTTATATGAATCACTCTGGATAAAGTACGACTTGAATATGTTTTGTGAGCATATAAATCATTCTACCAAATTTTTTCCGGATTGTTCCATATATGGTAATAGCTCCTTAAAAAAATCACTTAAACGCACATATTTCATTATCAAATAAAGATATCTTGATAAAATTTTACACAAATATGTTTTGTGTAGTAAGGACATAGCTCCTATACATATAAAGTCCACTTCCGAAAATCACCTAAACGCACATATTTCATTAATTAATAAATCTATTGTAGTAAAATTCGACTTGAATTTTTTTTGCATATAAATCATTATACGAAATTTTTTCCTTATCGGTTGATAATTGGTCACAACTCCCATATAAGGACCATTAACGAAAATTACTCAAATACACATTAATAATCAAAGTTATCGGGATAAAATTCGTAACTAAATGATTATATCCGGATAAAATTCAAAATGAGTATGTTCTGTGTACAGATAAATCATTATATTAAAATGTTTTCAAACTGGCCTATTAAAATACATTTTTCTCGACCTAATTAAAATTAGTTTGACATATGCATAAATGTTAGTACCCTCAATAAGGAAACAAAAATTTTGCAAAGTTATCTAAACCTTAGATGGTTAAATGGGTTTCAATAAAAAGTAGCTTGATGGTGGAGGGTATTTAAGATTCGGCATAGCCGAATATAGCACTCTAACTTGTATAAATCTGTTTGGATGTATCTTAATAAATCGGCGACAACAGATTCTAAAGTAGACATATTGGGTAATTTATTCAAACAGCAAACTTAAATTTCCGACAGGGTATTTTATGTGTTTATGGGTATGCTACACAATTCGGGTGGTAATATTATCTTAATCAAGCAATATATAAAAATATTTCCAAAAAAAACTTTTAATAGGGTGGGTGGATGAGTGGGTTTTCGAATAGAAAATACTTGTATACTATATTGTTTGACAAATGAAACTAATATAATACAAAACAAGTAAGAAAGTATAGTCGGGCGTGGCCGACCATATGATACCCTACACCAGTTATGAATATTAAATGTGATTTATTTTTCATAATAAAGAATTTATCTTCAATATTCCCTTGTTCCGATACATTTACGCAATTTATGGATGAAAAACTAATTTTCTGAAAGAGGCTTTATATGGGGGCTAGGGGCAAATATGGACCAAGCCCTATACAATTTTGTGAATATATTTATATTTACGTAATATTTTATTGTGCTGAATTTCATCGCGATATTTGTGTTTATAAGTTAATTTGGGACATTCAAGTAATTTTCTGAAGGGGACTTTGTATGGGAGCTAAGGTCAAGTGGGGCCCGATCTTTATGAAATTTGGTAGGGTCATCAAGACTTCTATAAAACTTAGTTGTGCCGTATTTTATCGATATATCTGTATATTTAACATAATTATGAGCTCAGAAGCCCTTTTCGGGGGGTTCTGTTCTATGGGGGCTAGGTGAAATAATGGACCGATTTTAACCATTTTCGTCCTTGGGTCAAATAAAACGTGCGTGCCAAATTTCATCCAATTATCTTGAAAATTGCGACCTGTACCTTGCGCACAAGGTTTACATGGACAGCCAGCCAGACGGACGGACATAGCTTAATCGACTCAGAAATCGATTCTAAGCCGATTGGTATACTTTAAGGTGGGTTTTTGTATGTTACAAACATCAGCACAAATCCAATATACCCTCCCCACTAAAGTGGTGTAGGGTATAAAAATGGAAATTTAAAATTTTTA